CAGTGCGCCACCGGGCCGGCCCAACAACATTCTAATTTCTTTTTTTTTTTTTTTTCCTTTTTGTCTTTTTTCGTGTCCGGCAACGGATCGCAACCCTCAGTGTTGCGCCCGTACCGGACCAGGACCGGCAACGGGATCGCAAACCTCGGTGCTGTGCCCGCACCTCGCTCAGCCAGTAAGCGGGAACCGGTCTGTATGTGGGATCCGAAGCGACGGCGGGACCGCCGCCGCACTCCCAAGCGGCGCACTGTAGCAGTGCGCCACCGGGCCGGCCCAACAACATTCTAATTTCTTTTTTTTTTTTTTTTCCTTTTTGTCTTTTTTCGTGTTCGGCAACGGATCGCAACCCTCAGTGTTGCGCCCGTACCGGACCAGGACCGGCAACGGGATCGCAAACCTCGGTGCTGTGCCCGCACCTCGCTCAGCCAGTAAGCGGGAACCGGTCTGTATGTGGGATCCGAACCCTCAGCGGGAGCGCCACCGCGCTTCCCAAGCGGCGCACTATAGCAGTGCGCCACCGGGCCGGCCCCCTAAATGATAATTTTAAATGATAATTTTAAAAGAACTCCCACGATGCCAAAGTCTGATACTCAAGTCCCGTATATAAAATGGCGTAGTATTTGCATATAAATAACACACATACTTCTATATACCTTAATCTCTAGGTTACTTATATATAATACAATGTGAATGCCATGTATACAGTTTTTATACTGCACTTTTAAAGCTTGTATTTTTATTGTAGTTATTTTTTATTTTATTTTTTGGATATTTTCAATTCATGGTTGATGGAATCTGTGGATACAGAACTCAAGAATATGGAGGGCTAACTGTATTTTGAAAGATGCTATAATTATATGAAACTGAGAAGAACAGCTCTAGGGCCATTATTATTGTATTACTTTATAGCCTGGGAATTACACAATATAGGAAATAAGTACACCAAGGTCAAGGGTTCAGATTTCTGTACCGGCCAACCACCCAAACAAAACAAAACGAAACAATTCTAGGCTGGCTAGTTAGCTCAGTTGGTTAGAGTGTGGTGCTGATAACACCAATGTCCAGGTGTCCAGGGTTCAATCCCTGTACTGGCCAGCCACCAAAAAAAAGAGAAAATGATGGGTAGTAGTCCATTTTATTCTTGGTGTGAATTATTCAAACACTTTTGGGGTACCTACTATATTAAGTTACTCTGGTAGGATATGAAAGAAAGATATAAAAATTGAATCTGTACTTTCAAAGAGCTCATAACCTAGGTATGAAATAATGTTCCCTTTAACTTTCAAAAATAATGGGCATATGTTTATGGTCCAGGGGTAACTTCCTACCTTTGTGACCCTCCTATTTTTCTGCATATTATTTTTTCTCTCCTTATAGGAAAATATCTGCATTACATTGTTATGCATTGCCCAATACTTATTTAATTACTGTAAAATTAACATCAGTATCGACATAATAGTCTCAAAGGAAAGTGTTTCTAATTGTAATTCTAACAGAATTTCTTTTTGGTGGGTAAGACAGAAGTGCATTTTAGCAAGATTCACTAAGTACAAGTTAAAAACAAAAACAGAAAATTCTGCAATATTTCTTAATCAACCTAATCTGTCAGCTTTAAGAGCTGTATCCTTACACCCATGAATGAATACCTGTTAAGAATATATCAGTTTTCATACATTTACATTAAGCCAGTTGTGTATTTTTTCTTTTGCTTAATCATAAATGCCAAGACACAGTTATAAAATCAGACTGCCACAAAAGTACATGAAGACAAACTATAATTTAGCTTTAAAATTTTATTGAAATTCAGGTTTAGAATTCAACAATTTAATACAATATTATATTCAATATTTTCTCACCAGTATTTTCTCCTCCTGTACATGATTTCTGGGCATAACTTTTAAGAAGTGATACTTTCTGGCTCATTTTCCATAATATACCAATTATACCTTCATTAAAATCTCAGATAGTTCCCCAATTGTTCTTATCTCAATGTCAAAATTTTAAAAAATAAACTCAAATATTTAAATGTAAGACATTAATTCTGTGTCCACTGTAATATAGAAAGGAAAAAAACTTTGCATAATCTTAACTGTTAAAAACTCTTGTTACCATTTATATTAGTAATGGAATATGAATTTTTAACATAACCATATGAAGTTCTTATTAAAATGTTCAAGCATTTCTTGCTAAAACATTTCTGAAGTTATAAAAAATCTTCTCTTTTAAACTAATCTATACTCAATTAATCCAAAAATAATACTGGTACTATAGATAAGACATTTATTCTCTTGCATATTTAAGTACCTAAGGTACAGCCTGATCAACAGCAGGTTACTGGAAAGAATAAAAAGCAAGACTTTCTTTAAGGAGTGAGTCGTTTGGGATCACGAGGGAACATGGAGGTCTGACGAATATTATGCAATCCCAAAAACAGCATAGTCACTCGCTCCAACCCTGGGGAAACAAAATGATCATTAATTCCTTTTCTGAAAACCTCTAAGGGTCTTATTTACTTAGAACTACTAACCTAATATCATTGTTCAACTAGATACTTTTTCTTGTTAGGCTCTAAGGGTCTTATTTACTTAGAACTACTAACCTAATATCATTGTTCAACTAGATACTTTTCCTCAAGGAAAAGTACTTATTTTACATTTATCTAAAATTGGATGTTTTGGGTATTGATTCAGAAGTGGAGATGATGCTGTATGTGGGAAGGACTACATGAGATATTCTTAGTGGAGTCTGAAATGTGAACCACCAAAATCTATATAGATGGGGGCCAGCCCGTGGCTCACTCGGGAGAGTGTGGTGCTGACAACACCAAAGCCATGGGTTCGGATCCCATAAAGGGATGGCCGGTTAGCTCACTGGGTGAGCCTGGTGCTGACAACACCAAGTCAAGGGTTAAGATCCCTTTACCGGTCATCTTTAAAAAAAAAAAAAAAATCTATAAATGACCAAGTTCCACCTAAGAAGCAGAGCAGAACTAGCAAAAGAAACTCCTTGTGTGCATTTTGATTCGTTTATTTCACTAAAGTTTTAGAAGGCTAACATATCACACAAAAAAGGCAAGGTCAAAGAATATTCTTACAATTCTTTCATAGCAACAACTTTTAAAGATTTTAAAGGAATACTGTAAATATAAATATAAATAAGAGAACTAACATTTTTATTGCTATTTCTTTACCAAAAGACATCTATCTGCAGATGACAACTTGAGCCTTGTATTACAGTGATCTACGACTAATCTTAAAAAAAAATCACCATATCAAATAAGATTATTTTCTTCTTTTTCAGATAGTTCATTGTTTATATATAGAAATGCTACTCATTTTTGAATGTTGCTTTTGTGTCCTGTAACTTTACTGAATTCACTTATTAGTTCTAACACTTTTTTGGTGGACCATAACTCTTTTTTTATTTTGTAAAACTGAAACTCTGTACCCACTAAACAGTAACTCCCCATTTATTCCTCACCTCAGACCCTGGCAACTACCATTCAACTCTCTGCTTCTATGACTCTAACTACTCTGAGTACCTTACATAAATATAATTATACAGTATTTTCCTTACTGTGACCGGCTTATTTTACTTAGCATAATGTCCTCGAGGTTCATCCATTTTGTAGCATGTCAAAATTTCCTTCCTTTTTAAGGCTGAATAGTATTACATTGTATGTATATACCACATGTTGCATATCCATTGACCTGTGGATGGATACTTGGGTTGCTTCTGTGTTTTAGCTATTGTGAATAATGCTGCTATTAACAGGGGTGTACAAATATTTCTCCGAGACCCTATTTTCAATTGTTTTTGACATATACCCAGAAGTGAAACTGTTGGATCATAATGATAATCTATTTTAAATTTTTTGAGGAACTGCCATTCTGTTTTCCACAGCGGTTGGACCATTTTATAGTTTCACCAAAATTATACAAGGGTTCTAATTTCTCTGCATCCTAGCCAACACTTGTTATTGTCTGTTTTTTTTTTAATAGTAGCCAAGCTAATGGGTGTGAGGTAGTATCTCATCGTCATTTTAATTTGCGTTTTACTAATGATTAGTGATGTTGAGCATGTTTTCATAAGCTTATTGGATGTTTGTATATTTTCTTTGGAGAAATGTCTCTCCAAGTTCTTTGTGCATTTTTAAATCAGGTTTTTATTGTTGCTGTTGCGTTTTAGGAGTTCTCTATATATTCTGGATATTAATCCCTTATCAGATATATAATTAACATATATTTTCTCCCATTCTGTGGGTTGCCTTTTAGTGGATAGTTATTCTTTTTTTTTTTTTTTCCTTTTTGTCATGTCCAGCAACGGATCGCAACCCTCAGTGTCACACCCGTACCGGACCGGGACCAGCAACGGGATCGCAACCCTCAGTGCTGCACCCGCACCTCGCTCAGCCAGTGAGCGGGAACCGGTCTGTATGTGGGATCCGAACCCTTGGCAGGAGCGCCACCACGCTCCCAAGCGGCGCACTGTAGCAGTGCGCCACTGGGCCGGCCCCGTGGATAGTTATCTTTTGATGCACAAAATTTTTACATTTTCTTAATTTTAATCTGTCTATTTTTTCTTTTGTTGCCTGTGCCTTTGGCATCATATCTAAGAAATTATTGCTAAATCAATATCACGAAGCTTTTACTCTATGTTTTCTTCAAGAGTTTTATAGTTTTAGGTCTTACATTTAGGACTTTGATTCATTTTGAGTGAATTTTTGTATATATATTAGGTAAAGGTCCAAGTTCATTCTTTTTGCATATGATTATCAGGTTTCTCTGTACCATTTGTTGAAAAGACTAGGGTTCCTTATCCTTTTAATTTGAAATTTTTGTTAAGTATATTACTTATTCACCAAAAAATCTGCAAACAACAAACAAAAACTTCAACAAAACTATACATTCAGAATTCTTTTTAAGAGTCTTTGATATGAACATCCAAAACATGAGTTAAATATTTACTCATTTCAAATTGCAGAGCAGTCTCTTACATATACTCTAGAAGTGGTCCTAAAAGTCAATGAAATGTTATATTTCAATAAAAACAGTTAGCAGCTCTTGGAGCTAATTACAGACAAAGCTTTAATTTGGGTTCATCTGAATGAGCTTATAGTAGCAGGAAGAAAACAGGATACTCAAGATTTTTAAGACACTTGGCTTCTAAACTCTTAAGAAAAAAGGGATGGCTAGAACTTTATTACAATAATATTTTAGAACACACAAATTAGCTGTTCATTTTGTTCATTGGAAATCAAATTTCCACTTAGTCATAACTCACTTTAAAAAATTCTTACAATTCAAATTTGTTTTATACTTAGCAATTATAGACTTATTTGTAAGCAGTAACAGAATATTACCAATGCCTCCACCGGCATGGGGAGGGGCTCCAAAGCGGAAGGAATCAATATAAGCCTTAATTTTCTCCAAATCTACAAAAAAAACACAAAGCAAAATATAATTTGTCTTATTTAGCTTAAAAAATTACAAAAGCAATTACTTTTCTATGAAGATTAAAAGAAGACTAACAGGTTAAAAAATTATCCTGACAAGGACCAAAAGATGTAAACCAAGTACATTACAAGATCATCTTTAGTGTTAGTCCAACTATTTTAGATATGGTATATTCATCACATTGGAATACATCTTTGTAAAGTTAATGAAAGCATACCTTTCTGATATTAAAGCCCACTTTACTAGACACAACAGAATAACATTTCCATAGAAATAACTACTTTCTAAAACAAAGAAACAAAAAAGGACTATGTTCCTGGAAAGTCTTTAAAATGTTTAAAATGTATTATTTCAGAATATACATTCTCCTAACTATACTTTGAGTTTTTTTTTTACCAATTCCATGATGTAATGCTCTCTCTGTTAGCAGCTGAGGATCATGTATTCTTTGAGCTCCTGACAATATTTCTTCTCCTCTCATGAACATATCATAAGAGTTGGACTGTTTCTGTAGGAAAAACAAACAAAAACACTACTCTTCAAGTGGCTATCATCCTATTTCCATTACAAATAGGTGGAAAAAAATCTCTGCTGCATGAAGAGCAAGTCCATTTTTTTTTAGAATTAATGACGTAATCTATTTCAGTGAACATAATTTGTTTCTCCAAAGTAAAATTAAACTACTGAGGGTTGAATAATACATCCTTTCTTGCCTGTATCATATTTTGTGCTCTTCACTCACATCCCCCAATAACAAATCAAAGCACCACATCTAACTTTTAAGTAGTAGTACTGATCCTTATTTCACTTAATCATCTGAAATGGTCTTAAGTGTGACATGACTTTTAGGTCACTTTTGGAACTTCAATATAAACAGGTGTTAGTCTTTTTAAGGAAATTAAATTGAAAATTAATTTACCAAAGCTTAACCTACTCCCTATCAGCTATCTGATAACAGTAGTTTTAACTTACTTCCCAGTCTTTCAATAAACCATATAAATGGTTCTCAAAGTGATTCCTGACCTAGCAGCTTCAGTATTTCCTGGGACTTGTTAGAAATGCAAATTATCAGGCCCCCACCCCACACCAACTACAGTAATCAGAAACTCTGGGGAGTGCGCCAGCAATCTATGTTTTAAAAAGCCCTCCAGGTGATTCTGAGGATCTCTAAAATAGGAACCACTATAATGGAAAAATAGTGAAAGGCCAAAACATTATTTAGATTAACTCCCAGGAAACAATGTAAATTCTCAGTTCAAGGTCAATGACAAGATGATTTGCTAAAGTGTGCAAATCTGGTAGTACTATTTATCATTTATATGGTCTTTCTTTCTTATAAATCTTCATAAAAGTGACCCAGGAGAATGATTTAATATAGGCTTTGTAGGCTAATTTGCTAGACTACTCAAATTTCACAATATCATTTTGACCTATACTGACAGACACCAGTAGTAATACCTATAACAATGTGTCTATCGAAACTGCAAATTATTAATTAAAACCATTATTCCCATAATACAATTTGATACACTGACAATAAAGTCTTGCTTCTTCCCCCAAACATTTAAAACCAAATGACTTACAGGATTTCTTGGATCAGGCATGGTATAGAAAGGTCTTACTGCCAATGGGTATTTATCGAGAATATAAAAATCTGTGTCATACTATAAAGAGAATAAATGTAATTAATATACACTTTTTAATAGTTAAAATAAGGCTAACATTTGGTAATTAACTTTCTTTTTTAATGCATAATTTTTGTTCTTAAAAATTATTGTAATTACACTGTATATACAATGAGTATCCTACTTTTTTCAAGTAATATCTGTATTCTATAGCATTTTGCCATGATGTCATAAATTCTTCTAATATCTCATTTGTAGGAGTTGTTTATTATTCAATTATAGCTCACATATTCATTTTTTTCTATTTCTTTTTGACATGTAATGTCTTTCCAATTTCTCCCCCATTGTAAATTATGCTGCAATAAACATCACTAATTTTCATTTTTTTTTTTTTTTTTATAAAGATGACCGGCAAGGGGATCTCAACCCTTGGCTTGGTGTTGTCAGCACCACGCTCAGCCAGTGAGCAAACCGGCCATCCCTATATGGGATCCGAACCTGTGGCCTTGGTGTTATCAGCACCGCACTCTACCGAGTGAGCCACGGGCCGGCCCACTAATTTTCATTTTTTTTTTTTTTTTTATAAAGATGACCGGCAAGGGGATCTCAACCCTTGGCTTGGTGTTGTCAGCACCACGCTCAGCCAGTGAGCAAACCGGCCATCCCTATATGGGATCCGAACCTGTGGCCTTGGTGTTATCAGCACCGCACTCTACCGAGTGAGCCACGGGCCGGCCCACTAATTTTCATTTTTTTTTTTTTTTTTTATAAAGATGACCGGCAAGGGGATCTCAACCCTTGGCTTGGTGTTGTCAGCACCACGCTCAGCCAGTGAGCAAACCGGCCATCCCTATATGGGATCCGAACCTGTGGCCTTGGTGTTATCAGCACCGCACTCTACCGAGTGAGCCACGGGCCGGCCCACTAATTTTCATTTTTTACTTTGTTATTCTAGCTCATTTAGTCTTCCAGATGCATGTTATAACTGTTTTGCTAAATTATCCAAAATCCTTTTGGGTTTCATAGAAACTGTTGAATCTACAAATTATTTTGGGAAAAACTGACATCTTTTACAATACTCATCTTCCAAAAACTTGTATTGTTTTCCGAATAATTTAAATTTTTGTTAGATATACAAGTGAAATATGGCAGTTTTCTTCAAATGAAAACTACAATTGAAAGAAATAAATAACATTAATATGAAACGATGACATTTTTCTTAGAAAGAATATTTACTACATCTTATACTTAAGCTAAGAAGAAATCAGTTACATTTCAACTTTTTTTGACGACTGGTACAGGGATTGAACCCTAGACCTTGGTATTATCAGCGTTACCCTCTAATCAACTAAGCTATACAGTCAGCTCCCAGAGACAGCATTCTTTAAATGTATAAACTCAATATTGTAAGGTTTCAGAAACATCTGAGTCTCCAGTCAGTTCAACAATTTCAAGTGCAACCAGCAGGAGGAGCTCTAGGACTATTTTCATTTCATTACATCACTCTTAATTTTTTAAAAAAGACCATAGTAAGTTTAGCTTTTATCCTCTTTGGAATTTTAATTTTAGAAAATGAGATAGGAAAGTGGTGTTCACATAAGAGGCAGAAAGGAAGCTCATTCCTCTTCAAGTCTCATGAAACAGCAGGGGCACCATTTAGCATTTAGCAATGGGAAACCCATTTCTAAATAATTTCAAGTAATTTTTAGGTCCTACCTAATCTGACTATCTGACATATAGGTATCACTTTTAGAGACTCCTCAGTAGAGTTCAGTACAAATAACAACTATTGAGTTAATCAAACCATTTGGGCTGAGCTTATCTGCAAATATTTGTTTTTGTGTTTTCTAAAAAATATTGTTTCNCAAAATATAATTTGTCTTATTTAGCTTAAAAAATTACAAAAGCAATTACTTTTCTATGAAGATTAAAAGAAGACTAACAGGTTAAAAAATTATCCTGACAAGGACCAAAAGATGTAAACCAAGTACATTACAAGATCATCTTTAGTGTTAGTCCAACTATTTTAGATATGGTATATTCATCACATTGGAATACATCTTTGTAAAGTTAATGAAAGCATACCTTTCTGATATTAAAGCCCACTTTACTAGACACAACAGAATAACATTTCCATAGAAATAACTACTTTCTAAAACAAAGAAACAAAAAAGGACTATGTTCCTGGAAAGTCTTTAAAATGTTTAAAATGTATTATTTCAGAATATACATTCTCCTAACTATACTTTGAGTTTTTTTTTACCAATTCCATGATGTAATGCTCTCTCTGTTAGCAGCTGAGGATCATGTATTCTTTGAGCTCCTGACAATATTTCTTCTCCTCTCATGAACATATCATAAGAGTTGGACTGTTTCTGTAGGAAAAACAAACAAAAACACTACTCTTCAAGTGGCTATCATCCTATTTCCATTACAAATAGGTGGAAAAAAAATCTCTGCTGCATGAAGAGCAAGTCCATTTTTTTTTAGAATTAATGACGTAATCTATTTCAGTGAACATAATTTGTTTCTCCAAAGTAAAATTAAACTACTGAGGGTTGAATAATACATCCTTTCTTGCCTGTATCATATTTTGTGCTCTTCACTCACATCCCCCAATAACAAATCAAAGCACCACATCTAACTTTTAAGTAGTAGTGCTGATCCTTATTTCACTTAATCATCTGAAATGGTCTTAAGTGTGACATGACTTTTAGGTCACTTTTGGAACTTCAATATAAACAGGTGTTAGTCTTTTTAAGGAAATTAAATTGAAAATTAATTTACCAAAGCTTAACCTACTCCCTATCAGCTATCTGATAACAGTAGTTTTAACTTACTTCCCAGTCTTTCAATAAACCATATAAATGGTTCTCAAAGTGATTCCTGACCTAGCAGCTTCAGTATTTCCTGGGACTTGTTAGAAATGCAAATTATCAGGCCCCCACCCCACACCAACTACAGTAATCAGAAACTCTGGGGAGTGCGCCAGCAATCTATGTTTTAAAAAGCCCTCCAGGTGATTCTGAGGATCTCTAAAATAGGAACCACTATAATGGAAAAATAGTGAAAGGCCAAAACATTATTTAGATTAACTCCCAGGAAACAATGTAAATTCTCAGTTCAAGGTCAATGACAAGATGATTTGCTAAAGTGTGCAAATCTGGTAGTACTATTTATCATTTATATGGTCTTTCTTTCTTATAAATCTTCATAAAAGTGACCCAGGAGAATGATTTAATATAGGCTTTGTAGGCTAATTTGCTAGACTACTCAAATTTCACAATATCATTTTGACCTATACTGACAGACACCAGTAGTAATACCTATAACAATGTGTCTATCGAAACTGCAAATTATTAATTAAAACCATTATTCCCATAATACAATTTGATACACTGACAATAAAGTCTTGCTTCTTCCCCCAAACATTTAAAACCAAATGACTTACAGGATTTCTTGGATCAGGCATGGTATAGAAAGGTCTTACTGCCAATGGGTATTTATCGAGAATATAAAAATCTGTGTCATACTATAAAGAGAATAAATGTAATTAATATACACTTTTTAATAGTTAAAATAAGGCTAACATTTGGTAATTAACTTTCTTTTTTAATGCATAATTTTTGTTCTTAAAAATTATTGTAATTACACTGTATATACAATGAGTATCCTACTTTTTTCAAGTAATATCTGTATTCTATAGCATTTTGCCATGATGTCATAAATTCTTCTAATATCTCATTTGTAGGAGTTGTTTATTATTCAATTATAGCTCACATATTCATTTTTTTCTATTTCTTTTTGACATGTAATGTCTTTCCAATTTCTCCCCCATTGTAAATTATGCTGCAATAAACATCACTAATTTTCATTTTTTTTTTTTTTTTTCCAAAAACTTGTATTGTTTTCCGAATAATTTAAATTTTTGTTAGATATACAAGTGAAATATGGCAGTTTTCTTCAAATGAAAACTACAATTGAAAGAAATAAATAACATTAATATGAAACGATGACAATTTTCCTTAGAAAGAATATTTACTACATCTTATACTTAAGCTAAGAAGAAATCAGTTACATTTCAACTTTTTTTGACGACTGGTACAGGGATTGAACCCTAGACCTTGGTATTATCAGCGTTACCCTCTAATCAACTAAGCTATACAGTCAGCTCCCAGAGACAGCATTCTTTAAATGTATAAACTCAATATTGTAAGGTTTCAGAAACATCTGAGTCTCCAGTCAGTTCAACAATTTCAAGTGCAACCAGCAGGAGGAGCTCTAGGACTATTTTCATTTCATTACATCACTCTTAATTTTTTAAAAAAGACCATAGTAAGTTTAGCTTTTATCCTCTTTGGAATTTTAATTTTAGAAAATGAGATAGGAAAGTGGTGTTCACATAAGAGGCAGAAAGGAAGCTCATTCCTCTTCAAGTCTCATGAAACAGCAGGGGCACCATTTAGCATTTAGCAATGGGAAACCCATTTCTAAATAATTTCAAGTAATTTTTAGGTCCTACCTAATCTGACTATCTGACATATAGGTATCACTTTTAGAGACTCCTCAGTAGAGTTCAGTACAAATAACAACTATTGAGTTAATCAAACCATTTGGGCTGAGCTTATCTGCAAATATTTGTTTTTGTGTTTTCTAAAAAATATTGTTTCCCACTTGGTTTTTATTTATTCTGGAATCATACCATTCTAGGAAGATTAGTCCTCTCTGCAATTCTTCTTTAGTATCAGAATACATTTTCAGATTTAGAAAAAGAAACTGAGCATGTACAAAAGAATCCTACCTTTTCCTTTACCAAACGACCCAGCAGTTTTTCATTTGGTGTACTGAAAAAAAAAAAAAAAAACATGAAATCGGGTGCTTGAAGATCAAATAACGACTTAAAAGAGTTTTAAGTTAATAAGGCACCATTTCTATTTGAAGTTCTCAAAGGATAAAAAATTCGATCAAAACACATAGTTGTCTATTGTACGCCTTTTTTAAAAGGCAAGTACTATTGAAACCACTTATGAATGTAGCTGGTACAGGGACTCAGTAGGTGCAGTCAAATATTTACTTAAAACCGTAAATAGAATTTAGCAATTCATTGATTTAGAAATATTATAAAGTAATTTCCTATAATCACAACTACTAAAAGTTCACTATACCAACATGGGCTAGTCTTGCCATTAAATGGTCTCCCTCTTTTGTTACTCTTTATCAAAAGTTTATAAAACAAAAATTGGTATTTGCAAGTCTTTAAAATGTAATAATGTTTATATAAATGTCAAATTTCTATTACCAAGAGCTAGCTACTTCAGGTTCTTTCTTATTTAAGAACAATTTCCAAAATATTAAGAAAATATTGCCCAACATAAAGTAATACCAATTTATGGTTTGCCTTAAAATGTCAACTAGCAATGCAGGGGGAGGCTTAAAACCATATATAGTTACACAAGCAAAAATAAATAAAGAATTTTGGGTGAATATGTTTTTAAAAAATTCTAAAAAATGACAGTAATCACCCCCTTTCTGTGATAGTTCCAATATTTTAACTAGGAACTCTTGAATAAAATATAAAGAGACAGTAATTTTTAATCTTTATTAAACTACATAGTTTGTATCAAAATATAAGTGCTATGACTTGAATTTAGATAATATAATAGTGTATATCAAATAAAGAACAGTGATTTCTATAACTTTTGGAGATGTTAACGGTTTTATATCTTAATCCTCTGTGGGATGGATTTAGATTGCTGGATTTAGAGCGGGGGGCGTCTAACACCATTGACTTGAAAAGACGAGTTCTATATTAGATGATAAAATTATAGGCAAAACTTACAAATATGAGGGGGGAATGAAAAACGGTGTTTATTCATGAAATTATTGAAACTTAGGCAAACCATATTAAACATAATATTTTTATTTCAGATCATACATTACATAAAATCGCATCATATTATATACCTCAGTTAATAAAATTTATCAGCTAGGTGAAAAATCACCACCATTTACTAATATATTCTTTCTTTCATACGTTAAACCTAATTCCTGAAGTGTTAACAATCACAAAGACAAACCTCAGGTCATCTTCATCTCCCATTTCGACTCCAGCTTCCCTAAGCATAGCCAATGCTTCACAATACTCTAGTCTTAAAGTTGGCTCCAAAAACTTGAATGGCTCACATGGGAACTGTTTAGTCACCATTTGAATTTCAGTCTGAAACCTATTTGTATAATAACTGAGTTAGTAAAATGAGTGAGATAAATGCTTTCCCCACAAGAGGTCACTGTGGCAATATACAAAATCATTCTTTGAATCAGTATATGAACCAGGAAAAGCATTATCAAATTATTATGTTAAAGAATAAAATTTCAATACTGATAATATTTAACACCATTTTTCAGTCTCATGTTTTTGTAACCAAAGTAGCATTAAAGGATTAAAACTTCATAACTTACATTGGCTAACACTGTTAGAAATATAAAATACCCATTTTATGAAGCATAATTTGACTCTTTAATCCTTTAACAACACTTGTTATCATCAAGGAAGACAAAATTAATAATATGTGTCTTACCCTCCTCCATTCCCTTTACATTGGACATTTGTTTAGGGAAGTGCCAATTTCTTTCCCATTTTGATAATCCCTATAGTATAGTGCCTACCTTATACACTGTAGGCAAAGACAAATGTTTACTGCATTGAAATGAATTTCTGCTGTTAGAAGATGAATTTTTATTAAGATCAAAAGAGTATATTTTTGCTAAAGTATTTATGAATAAAATGATAGCTGGGATTTGCTTCAAAGTAAAAGGAGGTGAAGGAAATGGGTAAAACAAAATTGGCCATTGGTTGACAGTGGTTGAAACTGGGTAATGAGTACATGGTGGTCATTAGGCTAGTGTTCATACTTTTCTATGTATTTTGAAACTTTTCATAATTAAAAGACTTAAAAAATATGCTTATATTCTACATAAGAATTCTCTATCTATAATTTATATTCTAGAAATTAAACTCTATCACTTCTTAGTTTGTCTTGAGAACTTTCTTATTAGGAACAATGAAGCTTAGCCATAGATTTATTAAAATATTGATACAAGAAGAGTTAGGAAAACTCAATAATTGATTTTTAAATAGCTTTTCTTTGTTTTGGATATTAGTCCCTATTCATATCTATCAGTGGTAATACAAAAATATGACTATTGATACCTTAAAATACATTTCTATATGCTTTTTCTATGAGAGATAAATACTGATTAAAAAAATGAGAGAAATATGACACAAGCCAGGTAACCCAATTTACAAGTGACACAGAAACTAAAAATTCCTAAATGACTTATGGAATATAGAAAGAAGGCTTTTATTTTCAATTGCCACTTAAGTCTACTGAAAAAGTTCAGCAATAATGGTGTCCAAGTCTATGATTTGCACATGGCCTTGATTAATCCCAAGCGCCTGATTCATGCTTATTATAAAAAAGTGGAAATTTCAAACACTGATATTAAATAGAGAAGCTATCACTATCTAAAATAAATGGGCTTCAGAAACGTTCTTGAATTATAAACATGAAGAGAAAATGAGAAAAGTTGTGTTCCTTCATCATCGTGTTAAAGGATATTTTGTTTTATAAGGAAACATCAGTTGTTTCGTGGACTATGTGAATGAAAACTGCTTACGATAAACTGCACCAAAATATTTCTGAGTACAAATTAGTCATCAAAGGTACAAAAGCAAAAATATTGGTGCTCATGTTATAGTATTTTTATGTATGATCAATGATTAATTTCTGCATTCTTGAATTTACTCATTAGCCTTGCATTGGAGTAAATAAAATTCGTATTTTTGGACTCTTAAAATATCAGCGAAGCATATTGAATACATCAACAATAAACAGTTAAATCGGTGGTCTTCAAAGAAAAATTTCAAGTAGCTCTTCATTAGTTATTAAAATACTAGATAAGTCTATTATGATGTACCTAATGCTTGAAAAAAAAAGGAGACTCTCTTGACCAACTTAATTTGCTCTCCATTTTCTTTTCCTATTTTCTCTATGTTAAGTTGTAAACAACTTTCAATGACCTTTAAGAGAAAAACTATTTGCCAGTTTAGAGGATGTACTTAAAGTGGACATTTTACATAATTAAATTTTCTAAACATCTTGAACATGTCTAATATTTCTGTAATTCACCAAATAAGTACAAAGTCCCTTCAGTCTATTAAGTCTCTAATGTTTACTGAGCACTCATTGTAAATATAAACCTATTTAAGAATTAACCATTCCTGACACAGGCTTAATTTACATGTGGACAGATTCAGTAAAGATTAGAAACTAGCAGACTGAAGGGACTTTTTATCTCTGAGGTAAGTAATAATACTATTTTCACTTAATAGCTAAGGAAACTGAGGCACAGACTGTGTGTGGGCACAAGGCCCACACAGATAAGAAGCAGGGCTGAGATGTGACGTGAACTCAGGTTATCTGGAAGTAGCTGACCCACTAACCCAAACTACCTCCCAAATAATAAACTGCTATAAAAGTAACACATGCTCTATTTCTTCAGGTATTCAGGATGTTAGTATAAAGGAAAAAAAACAAATATATTTGGGCTATACCACAATCTGGTAAACTTCACCACCAAAAAGAGGCTAACTAGTTGAGGCCCCAATTGACATGGATCCAGAAACACTGTTTTCAGTGTGAATTTTTCCAACTAATTAAACTGATCATCTAACTGGAAAGTCTTTATAAATACTCCAATAAAAACTTCATTTACATGTTTCAGTTAAGGAATTTTTTTTTCCCCTGAAAACAACTCAGTTATAACACCAAGCTCAAGGCTTTGGATCCCCGTAACTATACTGGCCAGCTGCAAAAAAAACCCCCCCCCAGAAAACAAAAAGAACCCAAACTGATTTGAAACTAAGTCCATCTAGGAATATAAAATACTTTTTACCTTTCTTGAAGTCCTTTGAATATCTGTACCATGGTGTCAGCAATTTCTTCCATAACTTCATGGTAATGGTAATTAAAAGCCATTTCAATGTCCAAACCAACAAATTCAGTTAGATGTCTGTGGGTATTAGAGTCTTCAGCTCTGAATACTGTGAAGTTAATAAAAGAAACAAAGAGAAAACAGAGAAAATAGTGTTTTAAATTTTGAATAAGTTGGTATTTAAATACAAGATTCTATTTAGTAGTACTCAAGTGATACTATTTTCATATCATCAGACAGCTGGCAGGACCTTTGATAAACTGTTTCAGCATTCTCTTGGACAGCAAGTTCATTACAAACTCCTACAATCACGTAGCAAAAGCTCTACCAAATGTAAATTAATATATTAGGCTCATAAGAACCCCCGACGGAACACGAGATCCTAAGGTGCCTTCTCAATAATTAAAAATAGATTCAATTACGAGCAAGATAGTGAGTTCTCAATTTTATCAAAACTCGACTCAAGTTAAATGAAACTCTGTAGAGATGAAGTAACATTACATATATTCTAGCCATTACATCAGTCCAGTTCTTATTATTCTTATTTGTGTTTTCTTCTTTTCCAGTCTTCCTGACTAGCTCGGCTCATCACTGCCAGATTAATATTCCTATAACACATCCTCGCTCAGTAACTTACAATGGTTCCCAAATGATTACTGTAATGAGACATAAGATGACAAAAAGTCTAAAATCTTTATGCCTTCACAATTTAATCCTAACCTGTACAAGGGTACTTCAAAAAGTTTGTGGAGGGCTGGCCCCGTGGCGCACTCGGGAGAGTGCAGCACTTGGGTGCGCAGCGGCGCTCCCGCCGCTGGTTCGGATCCTATATAGGGATGGCCGGTGTGCTCACTGGCTGAGCGTGGTGCGGGCGACACCAAGCCAAGGGTTGTGATCCCCTTACCGGTCACAAAAAGACAAAAAAAAAAAAAAAAGTTTGTGGAAAAATAAAAGATAGTACAAATCTTTCCATGAACTTTTCTGAAGAACCCTGGTATTTCTCATTTCTTCTAAATACTGATTAGTCTTATTTTTTTCTGCCATAGTCCCTGCTGTTTACTTATCCTGCTTCCTCTGACTAGAATGCCATGTCTGTTGTCTATATATCTTACTGTGTTCTTAAAGCACGTTTCAGTTTGAATTTTCTTTTATGGTAACTATAGCAAACTCCATTTTCTCCCTCTTCTTACACTTACTATCTATACTACATAATTAACATCAATGTACTGACTATACAGCACAATCTGAGTATTTGTTGTGAAAATTACTTGATTATTCCTTGTGACTGCTGTATGTATGTATGTCATATTCAGCTTTGGAAGCAGGGACAATGTTTACTCCCTTGTCACTCAAAGCACAGTCTGCAAATCAGCAGCATCAACAGTATCTGGGAGCTTGTGAGAACTGCAGAATCTCAGACCTCACCCCAGATCTACTGATCAGAATCTGCACTTTAACAAGATCCCCAGGTGATTTGAGTGCACATTAACATTTGAGAAGGGCTGGCTGATTCTTCTTTCATGTACACGGTACCTAGCACAAAGCTATATATGCAGCAGGCGTTCAACAAACAATTGATTGATAAATTTAGAAAATTAAAAATTTAACGATCATGCCAGTTTCTCTATTAGCAAGCTTTTGATTTTTATTAAGCTATCAAAAAACATATATAAAATAACTGGGCAAATTCTAAAGAATGAAGTAAAGATGGTTTTTTGCTTATAATTAACTTCATAAAAGAATTTGCCATATGATTATGTGCACATGACTGACTTTTAGCCAATATATCTAAAAAACCATGTTAATGAAATCTATTTTATTTTAATTTTTACTTTTTATTATTATTTTTTGTGGCTGGTCAGTACAGTGATCGAACCCTGGACCTTGGTGTTATGAGCACCATGGTCTAACCAACTGAGCTAACTGGCCAGCCTTAATGCAATCTATTAAGAAATTTGTTAGTACTTTGTGATGGACATTAGCATATTACCAATACGAAGGACAGTACAAGCAATAATAGTGACACAGAACAGCTCTTGAGTAAAACTGGTAGCAAAGTGGACAGAGGGACACTGTCAACTTACAACAATAGTAAGGGGTTACAAAGGACAACAAATATATTATTTGGAAGATGGCATCTACTTGTTCTTTGGTGTTGATAAGGAGTTGAAAGGACAGTTCAATCAAGAGCTAATTTTGTACTAACTGCACTTAGGTATAATAAATAATATACTTAGGTATATCTCAGATGGTGTACATTTTCAAAGCATGCATTTTTAAAGTGAGATATTCCCAAGATAAACATTTTCTTCAGCATTCCACTGTAAGAATATATAATGCTTATGATTCTATTCACATTAATGATGTTCGAATGTTTAAAGAACTATTGAGCTTACTATTTTTTTAAATGTTTACCCAAACATTGTCATTTCTACTTCAAAGTCTAGTGTTTGTGTAGTCTGCAGATGAAGTAATTTAAGCTTTCAAAATATCTGTACATTCTATATGTAAAATATGTTTCTAAAATCACAACTACTGTACAATTAATGAACTTGGAAAAAACCATAATCTTACCTGGTCCAATACAGAAAACCTTCTCAAAATCAGCACAAATGCACATTTGTTTATACAATTGTGGGGACTGAGCCAGATATGCATTATTTTTAAAATAGGACACAGTAAATACATTGGCTCCTCCTTCACTGGCAGCTGAAATGTAAACATTTATATTATATAATTAACTGTAAACTTATCAATGCAAACTCTAGTAAAAAGTTTATACTTTTGATTCAAGTAGTTCACTTAAAAAAAAGAAAAACTGGAAATCAAGAAATGTAGATAAATTATAGCCTACTATACATTTTCTTATATATGATTCTAAGTAGTTTATATTTAAACCAGATTTACTTCTTTGGGTATACATGCTCCCTTTCTGCCTCAGTTTCAAAGCTATTTAATCTACTTTTGAGGCTGGCCAGTTAGCTCAGTTGGTCAGAGTGTGGTGCTGATAACACCAAAGTCCAGGTTTGATCTCTATACCGGCCAGCAAAACAACAACAACCCTCCCCCCCACAAAAACACCTAATTTGGGCATGTAAAAACTTATAAGAAAAAGATATTCTTAATCACTTTTCTAATTGTCAAGAATGCAATGTTCAATTTTTATTTGTCACCAAATGCCATTTGTAACACACTTTTTAGTGTTATTTAAGCAACTCTAAAAAGGGTAAAATAATTAAGATTCTCATATAAGAATGAGAATTAATTAGTAGTATTTAGTGATTTTACAATGCAGTTTGTACAAAATTGCAATACCAATTTCGAAAGAAACCTATATAATGAAAATAGTTCCTGGTGTAACTTGTGTAACAAGAATCTTGCTTTCTGTGTTCTTGCCTCATTTTATACTCATTATCACAAAATGACTGTGGAATGAGATGTGGTATCATTGTAGTATTTGACTGTTGCTATATAGCATGGTCTTCGAAATAAGTAGTCTCATGGCAATAAACCTTAAGGGACAGCTGGGATTCTAAAATTAGAAAAATACATAAGCAACTTTGGGGAAAGCTAATTTATTTTTAAAAATTAAAAGAAATATTTTGAAGCATACCTGAAATAATTTTAGGAGTCTGAATTTCCACAAAACCTTTGTTAATTAAAGTTTCTCGGAAGAGATAGCAGATGCCAGACTGGAGTCGGAAGACTGCCTGACTAGTTGATGTCTATAAGACAAAAATAAAATCTAATTAAATCAATCTGACACATTTACTGAGTACTCACTATGTGTGGTGTGCATTGTGGGAAACCTAAGGGTAAATAAAACTATTCCTGCTCTAAACATTTTTTAAGTCTAATAGTCTAATATAGTACAAGGCAGAGGTGATAAGGCATGCTGGAATGACTATATATATGACTATATAGAGCTATTCTCACTAGAAATGCTTACAGAGCAGATGTTTTAATTTGTAAGAATTCCATAAAAGAAATATATTCCTTAATTAATGAAACATCTTACTTGTGAATTCTTAGTGGTTTTTTTTTTTAAGGCAACCCAATAAGTGAGATGTACCAATGTTTGTGCAGCATAGCATACTAATGTTCTCCTAAGGAAAGTAAAATTTTATCATTTGATAAGTGAATAAAGCTACCATATACTTCACTATTTCTTCTAGAACCCCCAGAAAAGATACCATGTACTTTTATCTTAACTATTATTAGCAATACATAAACTGCAGATAGTCATGTATTTGTTACAATTAAATTAAGAAATTAAGGGGGAAAAAACAATAAAAGGAATAGGCATCCCATGTCACTGATTTCCCAGAATGGCACAGAAAGCAATTAATAGCTGTCTACCATAGTCAACTTTTCTTTCTTTCTCTCCTTTTCCCTCCTTTCTTTCTCAGTTTTTTTGGTCCCCCTATTTTACTTTCAGCCTCAATCAGTTCTGATGGTGTCCAGAAGACTCTAGAGGTAGTTATCTCTGCTCTAGACTAACTTTTGTCCATTTTTCTGGCCAAAAGAAGTGGCTGCTTCTCTTTAGGTCTTACTTATTAAAAAAAAAAAAAAAAGTTACCCTACGACTACATATGTGTTTAGTAAAATACCTGACTTCAAACCACTAATTTAACTGTGGACAGCTGAATTAGATGAAGAAGACGTCTTACTCATCTTATTATAGGAATTTCAATTACTTGCCCTATATGAAAGGGCTCACTCCTGACTTAGTGCACACAGCATTCTGCATTTAGACAGTAGCAACCTTTGAAAACACTATTAATGATGAAATGGTTACTCTACATTTCTTTCACTATAAAGAATGCTATTGAAATAACCTTGGATTCCTGCATATCGGGTATAAAAAAATTCATGTAAATTGGGTATTATTTAAAACATTATTTTATAATTCATACTCAAAGATACAAATCAATAATTTCTCAGAAAATAATGGAGATCATTTAAAAGATTTTTATAATTTGTTTTCATTTGAAAATGAATTTTTTATTCATTTTCAAGATGTTTACATCTTAACTAGAAAGACCTAAGGCTTTTTAAAAATGTGGTTTAGTGAAATATTTGGTTCATCCAATCAAAATAAATTGCATAATCTGCTTTCAAAAACCTAGCAACCTGTTTGAAACAAAAAGCTGTCTCACCATTACTGACACACATAGACATATTTCACTTTCATAAAATAAATTCTATAAGTGGGTCATTGAAAACATTTTACTGCTACTTGCCTCTTTTAGCTAGCCCAAATAAATTCACTTCAACCTCTTATCAAATGGAAATTAAACTTCTGATCAGGTCACAGCTTATATAGTATTAATAGAAATTTCGCTGATTGTTTTTTAAAAATAATACTGTGCCCACATTTTTTACTCCCTGATTATATAAATAAGTACGTTAATGTGTAACATTTATAGGGAAAATGATTCTATGTCATACATAAGAAAAAGCATTTTTTTCTCATTAGGTTTTTCAAGCCACTTGCTAACTGTTAGGAAGATAGGTACTTAATTAGACAGTAAACGGTTATTCAGATGATAATTCGAACATGTCCTAATTTCCTAGATCTAGCATTTACAATCTGGAGAACATTCCCTAGGAGATTCTATGAAATGGTAATCTGAGAATTGACAATCGTTAAGAATGAGGATGGGGAAAGTTAAACAAAAAGAAATTACTAAATATAATATGCTCTTTATAAGTAAATAACAAGGAAGAAAAATAAAATATTTAAAAAGAAATCCTCAACTATTTTGGTTCCTTATCATATAAAGAAGACTATCCATTACTGCAAAGAGAATTACATTGTACCAGTGAATTTTTACCAGCTATCTCTGCTAGTTAAAAGATAAATAGTTAATATTAGGAAATTTGAATATCCTTGTAAGCTCTCTAACATTGCCCAGAGAAAAATACCGTCCTGAAGCCCAGGGTGGTCAGTTAATTTAACAGAGGAATAGTGTTCAGCAGACTGTATCAGAGTCTGAGAAACTTTCTTCAGCTACCATGGGTCATCTTTCAACATTTATTCCTCCTCCAAAAAGTATTATTATTACATGAGAGGACAACACAGAGCAGTTAAAATTTAAGAAACAGAAAAGATAGTTTTTTTTCTCTCTGGTCAAATCAGGTCATTCTGGGTAGAACACATCTGAAGAGAACTAAAGCAGTTTTATTAATAGACTCATTTTCAAACTATTTACCTACAACATATTGATTGCTATGATCAACTTCTCCATGTGTGTAAGAATTTGATGGTTAAGGTAGAAGTTAACAATGATCCAACTTCTCAGTAAGATTACAGAGTGTATAACATAAGAAATATATGTTTAATAAAGTATTTGTGTGTTTAAACCTATTTCGACTAAAATGCTTCTAAAATATTATAATACATAAAATTAGTGCAATGTACAATGTTTATTTCAAGGTGAAGGTATAATTAAATCTTATTTTCAACTGGCTAAGAGCATGCAAATACATTATACACTTAATTTCCCAATACTATACTTATCCCTACCTTCAGATATATCAGTGAAAGAGAAAAAGGCTTTCTTTAGCATTTAAGTCATAAACCATACTAATGATGATGATGGTTTCCATGATGTTTAAACCTAAAAATTGTTTTGGGTCAAATAAATACTTTAATAATATGTTAAAAAAAATAGCACTTACTCATCACTCATTAAACAAATATTTATCAATTACCTATGTCTGGCACTGGGTTAGGTGTTAGATAATAGTGATGATCACAGTGGGCATAAGGTAGAAGACAAACTAAACAGAAAGCAGAAAACTAATTTTCCCCTACTTAAACAATTTTATTTTTTTAGAAAAAACAAAACAAAATTAAAACCCAGTCCTTGAACTTCATTTCTAAAAAAGTTTGACAATCCTTATATTAAAACAGTATTTTTTGGGCTAGCTGCTTAGCACAATTTGCTTGAACACAGCCTGATAACACCAAGGTTACAGGTTTGGATTCCTATGCCAGCTAGCTACAAAAAACCAAAAACCAAAAACCAAAACAAAACAAAACAAAAAAAAGTAGGAAAAAACCCAGTATTTTTTTATTCCATAGCAAATTTTCCAAATATATGATTATTAAAAATTAAAATGTTGTCATTCTGAATTACATAAAAGATCTGAAATAAAAGAAAAAACAATATTCTGTATTTATAGAATTCCTATCCTTAAGGTCCTCACAGCACAAGAGAACAAACATTTCATCTTTTATGAGAGAAGAGAGGCAGCTGCATGGAAAGTACTCAGGGTGTTAAGAGGGAGAATTCCAATAGAAGACAAAAGTTTAAACAAACCAAAAATTTATAATGAAACCTTTAACCACTCAGCTCCTTACAATTTTCACAAGAAATTATTTTTATGTTGTGAAAGGCTTGTAGCTTTAAAAAATTCCTATTTATGTTATCATCTTAACTGGACAGCTTTTGCTTTTTGTGACTGTAGAGGCTTCTTGTCAGTTTATGTAAAGTCAGTTTACAGACACTATTGTGAAGCTGGACTATGGATCAAGAGAGATAACTGAAAAGGGCGTAGAAAGACATTTCTAAAATATCTGATTTAATTCCAAAAGAAATGATTATTAAAGATTAAAACAGACTGATACAGAATTTCTAGTCAAGCAAGAGTAATCTCTGTGAGAAAGAATCTGAACTGTCTGCAATCGCCAATAGTCCTGTGCTGCATTAATGTTTCAGTCAAGGACAGTCCGTATACATGATGGTGGTCAGAGCAACAGGCAACATATAACCTAGGTGTGTAGTAAGCTATACCATCTAGGTTTGTGTAAGTACATTTATGATGTTTGTACAATGATAAAGTCACCTAATGATGGACACATTTCTCAGAATATACATGATGGTGGTCAGAGCAACAGGCAACATATAACCTAGGTGTGTAGTAAGCTATACCATTTAGGTTTGTGTAAGTACATTTATGATGTTTGTACAATGATAAAGTCACCTAATGATGGACACATTTCTCAGAATATATCCCCGTCAGGAAGCGATGCATGACTGTATATTACTGTAATGAGGGGATTCTAGCAGTGCTCAGGTTTACACTGTGTCAGGAACATTCCAACATATATCCATTTTAATTTACAACAAAAATGCTAGCAGATGAAATATGTATGGCCTATAGATGGACCCTGTGATACATACAACAGCGCTGAGCATCCTTAAGAGATTTCTATGATTGATGAGTTGGTCCTAAGGCCAACAGTTACAACATCCCCTAGGACACCTCCCCAGACTATTTCAGATCTACTCTCTTTTCTTTTTTCTTCCTGGCACCTTGATCTTGGACAGATCTACTTTCACAGAACCTCTATAGCTGCAGTGACCATACACCTATGATTTTCAAAAAGTCTCAACTTCCCAATATTCTGTCCACTGCTGACACAAACCAGCATTTCTTCAACTTGCCTTTTGTGTTCTATTATCATTTTTGTCATACTGAGTACACTTGTACTATTATTTAATGTTCTTTAAATTATATTTAAAAACTTGGCTCAGCCTAAGCAATAATATCCATGAAAACACAGATTTTATTTGCTGGTTACATTACATAGCTATTAAAATATAAAATGTGCATATCTGTGTATCACCCAGAAATCACTGTGTACATCCACTGGTAAGGGTACCACACTTGAAAAAACACTAGAAAACCACTGAAATGTCATATAAATTCCAATATATTGGCATTAAAACTATATTGCCAAGGCCATCTCTTGTACTCTAAGAACACAAATATTCTTCAGGGGTGTGGAGACTTTGATTTTTAGTTTGGAAAAAATTTACTGAAAGTAATGAGCTAGGAAATGAGTTAGAAGATGAGCACTTGATTATAAATTATCTAATTGTTCTCTAATTGTTTTATGATTTTGTTAATGGACAGGGAGGAATGGCAAATAAGCTTATTTGTAATCCATTAGTGGAGGCTGTGTGGAGTGCAGTGTGGCTACTCTAAGCTTACAAGGAATAGTATACAGTCAGTTGTGACTGACTGGGGGTATTGGCCATGGACACAGGGGGATAATCATCTCATGTACTTGCCTTGATTTAAGGGGTTAATAGTTTGTACAGAGAAAAGAACAGTAGGGGAGGCATGGATGAAGACTAAGATGACCAATTTAAAAGTAAAAGATATATATAATTGACAAGAAGAAACCAAAACCATAATAGCAGATACTGTCCATTCATTAACCCAAAGGGCTCAAAGTGGGGTTCATTACTGAGCAAAAACACACATGATCAGATAGCTACCTTTTAAACCATCCTTCCCCTACCAGAATATACCTGAACAGATAGAAAGGAATATGCTATGGAAACATATCATATAGGCTATCTTGGTAGTGTGGTTTTAAGAGATAGCACTAGAGTAGTGTGGTGTGTTGGTGAAGGAAGGGGACTTTAGGATAGCTACGGGGTATCCCATGGTGTCTCTTAAGGCTTAGGTTGCCTGTGAGTCCTGAATTGCCTACCGCCTTGACCATGTCAAACCAAGTGGAGAAAAAAAAAGCTAACATGATACACCTTTTAAAATAGCTCAGTCTTGGGCCGGCCTGGTGGCGCACTGCTACAGTGCGCCGCTTGGGAGCGTGGCGGCGCTCCCGCCGAGGGTTCGGATCCCACATACAGACCGGCTGCTCACTGGCTGAGCGAGGTGCGGGCGCAACACCGAGGGTTGCGATCCCGTTGCCGGTCCCGGTCCGGTACGGGCGCAACACTGAGGGTTGCGATCCGTTGCCGGTCACGAAAAAAGACAAAAAGGAAAAAAAAAAAAAAATAGCTCAGTCTTTATGCTTACCTGTCAACCAAAGAGAGAGCATGACTATATTGAGACTTATACTAATAGTCTTATTTCCTCAACAAAACTGTGAATTCTTTGAAGATAATCAATACACAGTATACACTGTTTACATAGTATAAAACCTATAATATAAACATAATAAATATTTTGTAGACTAAATAGCTTTAGTAGAGGGGGATTTAGATAAAGAAAAAAAAAACTGTAGTTTTAAACCAACTAAAGTAATCCATTCCTATTTGGGAAAAGTACTTATTAAAAAATGATTCCCAAGACAGAAGACTAAATAACTACTACTTTGACAAACTTTAGCTGTACCTAAGAGTGAGGAGAAATAAAGAGAATAATTCCGATCTAAATGGAACTCTCCAAACAGGTTCCCAGAAAACCCACATAAAAACCTGCCTAATAAGGATGAAGCTAATTTGTCAAGGCAATCCAGAATATGAGCTAGGTGAGTGCTGTGTACAAAAAGATTCCAGACAAAGAGATTTTAATTCAGACTTTTCCAGGAATGAAAACGCTTTAATATTTTAACATTCCTGGGAGCCAGGAGATGGCGTATTTTTTAATCAGGCCACGTAGCTGGAAAGTTCATAGAGAAAACAATTCATTATATGAGAGAAAAGTTAGGCTACACTAGAACCGATATGAGGATATATCTTAGAATGTTCAAATTACAGAAGGAGAATGGAAATTTTGTCTTTTATTTCCAACCTCTCCAACACTTGACTTTGCTAAACTGAGAGTCTATAAAAGACCTGGTTTGGGGTTAAATTAGATAGTTTACACATAAACTAAGGAGTTCAAAGACTTAAAGTTACTAA